CGCAAGGGTACGGATGAAGGGCGTGAATAGATAGCATTGATGATAATCTCTTATTTCTCTTATTCCATTCGAGGAGTAGCCTTCGTGATATCTATATTTAGATATATTTGCTTCTTATTGCCTCCCTACGCCGACTGCCTCGGGGAGACTTGGTGTACTTTTGTTTCAGTAACTAGATGGGTCCATGTTCTGGGTTGCTATTTCTTGCCTTTATACTCCCCGGGATCCCGGTGTGGATTGGGAGCTGTATCACCTCTCTGCTTAATTATTATGATCAGGGTTGTGATTTCTCCGAGCAAAGAAGGTAAAGGGAAAAGTAAATTACATTTGTCACTCCTCTATGTTTTTGTCCAGCTATAAAAATAACTTTTTTTAAAAAACAGCTTCATTTAAAAAAGGACTTGGACTTTATTTTTTATCAATTAATAAGTTTTAAATTGGCTTTGTATAATGGAATGCCATAATCAGTCGTGATCATTTATTCGAATCAACCTTTAAGGCGTCCTAAATACAAGTGAATGATTTATTCTAGGAGTAAAAATAGGAATATTACTCATGAAACACAACCCTGCCCCAGAGCCCCCTCTCAGGATGGTAGCTGACAATAGTTGGATCATATTCTGGGAGTTTGAAATGCCACTCAGAGGCCCATCTCTGAGTATGGCCCCTCCCCGGATAGCATGCAACCAGCCTTCCTCGATCCGCATCAAGAGATCTTTTTGCGTTAATGATGGCCGTTAGAAAGCCCTGATAAACCAGCCCTCTGCGCCTCTTAATCAAGTTGATCGTATGGCTGATTGAATCTAGATAATCTAGTTGCGTGAAACTCTGGATTCTTCCTCTGCCGTCTGGGCGGGCTGCCTCCCAGAATCTACTGGGTTCTACACTAGACTCCTTGACTTGATTATTATCGGGAGTGGTATAAATCATGCCGTAGTGGCCAGCAGCTGAAGCCGTTTCGCTGGGTGCGTGTTCTATCGTCCATTCGCGGCCAGGCTTGGAAGTTTCATACAGAGTTCGACCCCGAAGAGGGAGCGATGCCGCCATAAGGAGCCCTAATCACGAGGTTAGGTAGGGATTGAAACACTCTATCAAGAGACCAATTTGGATGGATATGAGGCCATGCCGTCTTACGCACCGATGCAATGCCAAACCCAGTCCTGAGGTTGATTCGCATCTTCTCCTGATGAATGTGTCATTAGAAGTCACAGTTTAACGAACCATAACACAATGGTGGTATATTCGAGACTGGGGTAATAAATGAGACTTACTTCCATCATCTGGCATCTGCACCGCATATGCGCGGCGGCCAGACGCTGTTTACACGCTGGAGTTAGTAATTACCAAAAGAGTAAGATTTCAGCTCAGGTGTCGGGAGCATGCAGGAGCAATGAGTCCCGAAACCTGCCAAAAGGGGAAAATAATGACTCCAGGGAACTTACTCCAATCGACCGAAGATATAAATGATTCCGAAATGCGAGCACATTCTTGATGATGCTTTCGAGCAAAGTAGTCCCCAAAGAGGACAAGGTGGTGACGCTTGTCTGTGCTACTCCACTTCCATTGCGGGTTATATTAGCTTAAATGGAAACCAAAGCGTACTTCTATCTACATACAGGACTTAAACGCCACTAAGGTCAGATCAGTATAGCTCATTAGTCGGCATGATTTTACCTCTATGCGTCAGGATAATGAACCTCCAAATCAATAAAAATAGCCGGATACATGATTAGCCACGTACTTCTTCAGAAGCCTCTCTACTAAATCACTCCAAGTTAATACGGTGTAGAGGTGTTGAAGTGATAGAAGCATGGGAGAACAGTAACTTACTACCACGGTGCTCGAATGTGAACCCAAAGGTTATTTTGATCATTCCAATCACCCATTACATCTTCATCCTCAGGATAACGAACCGCGTTGTCCCGTAGATGTGAGGCTCGCACCCTTGTCCATCTGCTCAGGTGACGCTGGTTATTTTGTGCAACACGTAGCCTCGTCGTTGAAGTAAATAGCGGGCTTCTGTGGAAGAAATTATCACTCTTGTTTGGGTAGTTTTGATCGTTCCAGAATGACTCTGCTAGCAGCTTGGAGGGCCAGGATGAAGATACAGGGTATACTTGTACTAGAGCGCCGTCCTGTAAATAATGAGCACTCCCGTTTGCTGGTGTCTGGATACTCGCATAGAGAGGATTTGGCCAATCGCGAAAACCAAACATTAGTGTCGGTGCATCGCGCCCAACTTCCATCTCAGATACAATAGCTATAATTTAATTTGAGTCTTCTTTCTAAGTTATGTCATTAGTCCTTGGTTTAGCATTACTCACGCTTAAGCTCCACTACCCCTCCAAAAAACAGTTTTTCCATATAGTATCCGCATTCATTAAAACCCTCACCATCTAAATACTTTAAGGACATAATTAGCATCATATAAGATAGTACAGAGAGACAGCGGGATGGAGTTATGGGACTATACAGGCTCTGTTCTCCATGGACTTCCCTCTGGTATGGTTTTTTTCCAAACGTTTCCCTCATAGTCGTCATTTTTAACACGACCTTCCCATATGCCATGCATAAGCTCATGTACCATCTAATATACAACGGGTTAAACTCAAGCTTCATTGAAGAACTACGAGCCCAGATAGACTTACCGCTATTGTTAAGTCGACCTGCGCCATGCATCGCTCTGACAAAGTTAAGTCCGGGTTTAGTATGGCCTGTATCTTGTCTATACTAATAGTGATCAATGAGGAGTAAGTTCTGCGGCCACCTCCTACCTTAATCCCAGGATCGGTGACGGCGTGGGCGTGATGATGTATTGCGAAACCCCATATTTGCCTTGATAAAACGTTTGTAAGTCTTGATTCCATGTCGGCCGCACTCGGGTTGGCTCTACGCCTCATAGCCCGAGCCATAGCCCGAGTAAGAGGGACTTGTAGGAAATTACGAATGAACTCCTCCCTCTTGTAGCTTAAAAGGACGATATCCTGGCTGGAAGGCGGCTCGCCCAGTACATCTTTATAGTTTTCCCAATAATCCACACAGCCGAAGAGCATTGTTTGAAGCTAAGCACTCAGTATGAAGTAATATGATATACTCTTGGGCAATAGATTGCTTACTACAACAATTACAACATTAATTTCAGATTCTATGGGACTAGAAGTATTACATACCGCCACTGTGTCGATCCTTGACAAGCGCCCTTAGTATGCGGTTAGTCAATTCTAGACTGACGCTTAAAGCGCTCCATATTTGCACGTCATCTACACTCCAGGTTCTGTTTGGCATCGATTCCCCAGTCTCGAGAGAAAATTGGACCCAGTCGAACCATCTCTCTTTTCTTAGAAATGGGTACCATTTTGTATCATCTACTTGAATCCTTTGCTGTTCGTAGAACTGGAACTCTGGTCTCTCCCTATATGAAGGCGTCGCCATCCTTCGAGAGCGCAAGCTTGGTATTCGAGAGCGCGTGCTTGGTATGCGAGGGCGTGGAATGGGTGTGCCTGGTATCCGAGGGCGCGACGCGGGTGTGCCCGGGGCTTGAGGGCGTGGAGCGGGTGTTCCCGGCGTTTGAGGGCTCGAGTGAGGCGCGGGCGACTCCCGAGAGCGTCCACTCGACGAAAGGGGGGACTTACCAATACTGAAGCGACGGATTCTGTCTATGACCTTAGTAACTAGTGATGGTTGTTGCGCCCCGGGGATGACGATGTAATCACCCTCTGCCGAAAACATGATACGGCGGTTCAACGCAGCGAGCTGCCATGTCCGAGCACCCCAGAAGATTCGTTCCTGTACCCTTTCACCCCATAACACATAGTCTATCTCCCTATTGCTCTTGGGGTTATGATCTTTCCCACGATCTGGCTGTTGGTCGTAATATTTTGGATCCTCGATTTTTGGATATTGAGGGGCTAAAAGTGAATGTGTAGTGCCATCTACTATTGTGGTGGTGTCTTTCCATGGAAATCGCTTTGCCCATGGCGACGAGGGTGGACTACTGGGCGTGGCTGGAGGCTGTAAAATCGATGATGTAGCTGGTACGGACATGACTAAAGCTAGTGAGGCGGCCCTTTGCACACGCGTATGCCTAGGTAAATACGAGTGAAATCAATTGGACTTATAATAATATATATAGTAAGTATCTATCACCATAGATCTATGGCCGGGCTATAGCGATCTAAAAGTGGCTTAGCTAAACTATGTCCGGATGCATAAGGTGGTGTAACAAAGGCGGATGAACTGGGCGTACGTACGTAACTCGTGCAATGGGTACTAATACCTATCAAATCTTAGTCACAGTAATATACGTGCTTAGATTCGGCGACGGTCGCTATGCAGCTCTGGGATATCTCACTACGTACATATGTAGGCATTTCTATTTCTTGTTATGACGTCCGGGGGACTAATACATACTAGCAAGCGGTGTGGTGGGGGTTGTCCTAGGCTAGATGGCTGATATTGCACGTGACACAACGGGTAATGAATCAGGGTTCTAAGACATATTGACGCAGCGTGAAGGTCAGATACTTCAATGCTTTCTATATGCAGCCTCACATTCGTAGAGGCACCTCCACACACACAGCCATGAAAGCAAACACCAAACCAAAGCCCCAACCGAACTGCGAGAAACCCTCACTTCAACCGTTTCGATCGATCAATCTTCTATACTCTACGATCTTATTAATGGTCTAGCGATTCCTCAACCCTACCCTTGTCTCCGGCCCCTTTCCGATATACACGTAATATTGTTCGCCATCGACTGATTACCATAACCTCTATCAAGGAATTTGTTGATATTTTATTAACAGCGTAACATAAATCAAATAGAAAAGAGGGGTGGTTTGTGCAGTCTTCTGGTCTTTTGGCTAGGAGGAATGGGTGACGAGCAAGAAACGGAGTAACTCAAAGACATTTGTTTAGGCTACGCTAGCCCACGGTACATATTATGGGAATAGAAAGGTGGGGACAGAAAAGATGCGCCCAATAAAAGAGCGTAACACCAAGGCCTTATGGGGTAGTGGTCTAGCCTAGCGTTGGATTCCATCTAGAAATCGCAGACGTCGGTTCGAATCCGACTAAGGTTACTTTTTTGTAAAGCTTTTGTAACTAAGCTTTAGTTTATTTATAATGATTTAATAACTTATGTATTATATGTTTACGTATTATATAATATGTATAGCTCAACAATTCATTAGTTTTTCATTAAATTAAATTGCTTATGCTGATTCACCTAATGATTCGATCGTTGCCACTGTTCCGCTTGCAACACCCTGGAAAAGCTTCTTCGACCTGACAGTTCCCGACGCTCCTTTAACACCATCCATCCACTTAGCCTCACCCCAACCGCCACCCCCTGGGGAGTTCACCACTAGTCGATCCCCAATCCCCATCATTGCTGTATTCTTCCCCCCTAGATTAATCACCCTGCCGTCTGCCTTAATCCACGTGTTCATTCCCCTTTTGCCATCCTCGCCACCGTTAAGGCCATACGGAGCGAACGCTCTCCTCTCACTGAGGATCGACGCCTTGATAGGAACCCTGAATTCGATATCGCGAATGATCCCGTCGCCCCCGGGATGGAGCCCGGCACCGCCACTACCTTCGCGTAGACAGAACTGCCGCAGGATGACGGGATACCTTCGCTCCAGTATTTCTGGATCGGTAATGCGCGTGTTCGTCATGTTGGTGTGGACGCCGCTAGTACCGTTCCAAGAAGGGCCGCCACCAGAGCCACCGCAGATAGTCTCGTAATAGCCGAAGCTATCTTCGGGATCATCGGTGCCAAATGTAAGATTGTTCATGCAACCTTGGCTCGCTGCTACGGCGTTGAACGCCTTGAAAATGACATCGACAATACGCTGTGAAGTGAGAACATTGCCGGCACAGACGGCAGCATGCTCAGACGGCTTCAGCAGCGAAGCTTCTGGTATCAGGACCCGAATTGGCTGAATCGCACCTTGGTTCAGGGGGATTTCCATGTCGACCATGCATCTAAGGGCGAATATTATAGAAGAGTTGCAGATTGCGATGGGTGCATTCCAATTCCCTATCTTTGCGTTAGTATCCTGCTAGAGTTTATGAGGGTAGATACGACAGACCGTATGCCTCTGACCCAGTCCCCTCCCAGTCAAACGTTGCGCTACCAGTTTCGCCGTCGATTGTCACTCTGAGTTGTATTGGAGTGCCGTCATCCATGTAATCAATTGCTTCAAGAGGCTGTCCGTTTGTCCCCTTTGAGATTGTCTTAAGCATATTGCGTACCGCTAGCTCGGCCGCCCCAACAATTTCACCCACTCCAGACAGGTCAGCTTTTACCACCGACATTCCGACGATGCAAATCACTTACTGTAAAACTGTACTACCTCACGCCCATAGTCTTCGATAAGGCTGTGAATAAGCTGGCTACCACGGTGGTTTGCTGCAGCCTGTGCCTTGATGTCTGAGATATTGTCGCGCAGGCATCTTGTCCCTTGGGAGCCAGGCAGCTTAGAGGGGGCCATGAGAAGTTCAATAAGCTCCTCTTCTTTGAACACACCGCCCTCGACTACTTTGAAAGCCTTGATCACAGCCCCTTCTTCCCAAAGCTCTCGAGAGTTTGGCGGCATGGAACCGGGGAGAATACCACCAATCTATCAACAGTTAGAATACCAAGCATCGGCGAAAAAAACCGAGTAGATGAACAGATACATAGCGACAACCGGGGTAGGCAGAACTGACATCGGCATGGTGACCACGAGACGCGGTCCAAAATATTATTTTCTCCCCTCCGAGGTCGAAAACGGGGGTTATCACTGTTAAGTCAGGCAAGTGAGTGCCGCCGCATTCTAGTGGTGATGTCAGTTGTCTGAAATGCGCATTGCTGAGAGATAATTACCAGGCGCATTAGATAGGATAACGTCACCGGGCCGAAGGTTGTCCTTCCAGTGCTCAATCTGCCACTTTACTGCGAATGCCATACTTCCAATCTGGAATAGGGATTAGATGCGGGCGTATAGTGTAGGTTTGAAAAAGGAAAAGAAAGGGGGCATCTTCACCATGGCTGGAACGTGTGGCGCATTGGCTACCAAGCTCCCATCTGGCGAGAAAACTGTGCATGAAAAGTCGAGTCTCTCCTTAATGTTGGTGCTGATGGATGTCTTTTGCAAGACTCGACCCATCTGCTCAGCAACACCCATGAACCGATGACCGAAGATGGATAGCTGGATCGGATCAGCTTTCTCGGACGAAAGTTGCTCTCTCCTTCCCGTTTCAACATCAATGATAACATTATCGGAGAGTATAGTCGCCCTAGCTCCTGGTATAACAACAATCGTCTGCTTGCTGTCCATGATCAGGGCAGGGCCGTTGATTACGGAGCCCGCCTGGAGAGCATCTAGATTGTGTATTGGTGTTGGTGCCCAGCCAGTCTCCTTAAAGTAAGTAGGTCTAGTCTCCTTAGTACTTGAGAGAGAAGTTAGCTTGATAGAGTCGAGCTCCGTCTTCCAGGGTGTCCCGATATTGACATTGCTATCGCCAATCGAACGTACTCGACAATCATCAACCACTACATGCCTCCCAGTTGGTAAGAAGCCAAATTCTTTTTGATGCGCATCCTTGAAGGCAGATAGGTAAGTCGCCGGGGCAGGGGGCTTCTGAATCATTAGTGCTGTGTCACTTCCGTGAAACCGCATATTGAGATATCGCTCTGAAGTAGTCCGCGATTTCTCGAACCCCTGCTGCACTAAAGCAACCACTGATTGCTCCTGTAGTCTGTCAAGTTCGACAGAGAGCCTGGTGAGATTACTCTCGTCATATATCAAGGCGGATGGGCTGCGCTGCTCGTTGACTACCTGTGCTAGGGACATGCCGTACGCAGACAGGATCGACGAGTACTTGTGGATAAGCACGCGAGAAACGCCTAATTTCCTGGCGATATCGCATGCGTGCTGACCACCGGCACCGCCAAACGAGGCTAAGTTGTGAAGGCTCGCGTCATAGCCTTTAGCCTCGGTAAGAGTTCGAATAGGGCGACACATCGCCTCATTTGCGACGTCAAGGAAGCTGCAAGAAAATGTTCAATGATGGACACTCAAGGGAGCGGACCTAAGAATTACTTACCCAGCAGCTACTTCCTCCACGGTCAGCTTTTGAGATACTTCCGAATTGATGGTCGCCGTAATTTCTTCAAACAGTTTCCGACTAGCCTCGATGTCTAGTGGTTCGTCTTCGTTACGTCCAAAAATCTTAGGGAAGAACTCGGGTCTTAAGCGACCCAACACCAGATTGGCATCGGTGACTGTGAGAGGCCCCCCTTTGCGATAGCATGCAGGACCAGGGCTACGGTATCTAGAGTCAGTGGCTAACCAGAAAGAGATCCTGGAAAATGAGCTTGGGGGTTTGCTTACTGCGCCGAGGCGCTTTCTGGGCCTGCTTTGAACATGCCGGCTTCCCACTTCAATATGCTGCCACCCCCGGCGGCGACGGTATTGATGTCTAGCTGAGGACTCTGAATTGTCACGCCCGCCGTAGTCGTCTCGAAGACCTGCTCTAATTTGCCGGCGTAACTTGGTTTCAAATCAGCTGAAGAAAACAATTTTGAAACGACGTAGAGATAAACGCACCGGGAAACATCTGTACTCGTTCCGCCCATGTCAAAACCGATGACAGCCTTCGGGTCCTCATCGCAGTACGCCGTTTTCGCATAACCAACACAACCTCCGGCAGGGCCTGAGAGGATAGAGCGGAGACCTGATAGTCCAGAGAACTCTACAAGGCCTCCGTCGCTCTGCATGAACTCACATCGGCAACCGCTTCCCTGGAGGTCTTTAAATCCGCTCTCGAAGCCTTGGATATACCTTTTGATCTCCGGGGTGAGATAAGCATCCGCCGTAGATGAGTGTCCTCTGGGTACTATCTTTATAGTAGGTGACAGCTCGGAACTCAGCGAAATGTGCGTAAATCCAATTTCCTCGGCAATCTTCTTAACCGCCGCCTCGTGGTCTCGGAAGGTGTAACTATGCATGAGACAGACAGCAATTGAACGAAAACCATCCTCATAGACCTGTTGGAGGACCTTTCTCGTCAATTCTAAGTCTGTAGTGAGTTAGTTTAAACCCCAACACTAACACCAGCATGTAATAATGACGGACCTATAGGCTCTAATATCCTTACTGCCTCGCCTGTGACGCCTGTGACCAACGCCGGGTCCGACTCTATGTCAATAGCCAATGGCGCCTTTCTTTCAGTCCATGCCTCGAGAGTTACACGCTCAGGTATCTCGACCACTCTTGAGTAAAGAACATCAGGCTTGTTGATTGCCAGATCAAAGAGTTTCGGTCTCGACTGATTTCCAATATGGAGAAGGTCCTAGGCGGCGTTTAGCTCCTCAGTCATGCAGCTGAGTGAGTCAAAGGTTCCGCAAGACAAGATGAAATTACCTTCATTCCCCTCGTGACAGCGAAGGCTGTCGGCTCCCCCTTTCGTTCCAGGAGGGCATTTGTCGCAACGGTGGTACCCATTTTAATCGACTCTATTTCGCGTTAGAGGAACCTTCATTCTCAGCATGGTAAGGGCGAGTAATGCTCACCAACCCCTCTCAATGAGATCTTTTGGCCTTTAGGATATGATGTCCCCGTGGCCTTTTCCAGGACTCGCCGGATGGCCTCGACGGGAGCATCAGGATAGTTACTGGGATCCACTGACAATAATTTGATGAGGATATCATCCTGCCCTGGGACCGACGCGACACACTAAACAGACAACTTAGCGTAGGCACTCAGCAAATCGCAATAGTGCACAGCTATGTGCTCACATCTGTGAAAGTGCCACCTCGATCGATGGCAATGCGAATCCCACCAATTACTCCCGGCATGGTAGAAAAGTCAAGTATAATGGTAGACGTTAACACGGTGATTAGTAAAGTGAGCTTACCCTAACTTCAAGCTCTATAATACATAATTTGCTATGCTCACCTAAAGAACAGCGTTGTTAGCGGCTTTATTAGATATCTGACGATGCCGCTGCGGAATCGGGCTTCTCCCGAGACAGGTGCAGGTGGAGTTGGCGCGCTATGCTGAGCGACCATCATGGTGTGCGAACGTCCGCT